TTTCACTCCACCAGAAACTAAAATAGTGCTTTTGTGAGGGACGTCGCCGCAGGTAGACTGAAAACATAATTGGGAAACCTCAGTGTAAAACAGAAAAACCACCTCTTCTGCTTCCACACTTAGGGGCAGTTCTTAGTCAAGAGGACTAAGAATCCAAGGAATTAGCCATAGAGCTTAGATCCATTCTGCACTTTCCTCTGCACTTTCCAGGCCTCTGCCTGAGTCTCCAGGCTTCTCGGTCCCAGGGCTGCCCCTACCACCCTTATCTTGCTGTGTTCCTGCCTCCCAGCTGCTGCTGACTGCCTGAGCACCCCCTGCCTGTGGTCACTGTGTGCCCTGCCCTGTGCCTTCCTCTGGCTCTGTCCCTCCCCACAGGTGATGGAACAAAGCCTCTGCCCCTCCCCTTTCAGACGGTGCTCGGGGCACCCCCAAATTGCATGCCCTGTGGCCCCAGACCACTTACAGAGGACAGTCAGGACCTTGCCCATGGTCCAGTCTCTTGAAGGCGAACTGTGTTGTCCCCACCAGACCAGGGAGCAGCAACCTGTGGGATGGAGCCAGAGAGGGCAAGGGAAAGAGGCCAGGCCTCAGCACCAAGGAGTGGGATGTTCTGAATTCGAACCTGCCTTCCCCGGGTCCTGATGAAGAGCAATTCATCACGGTAGGAGGATAAAAGAAATCTTGTGTAATTTTTACATATTTAACTATCTGGTGTATGGGCCTGCATTTGCTTTTTGGTATGGGTTCTGCAAAGTTCGTGGGGGCCTTTCCCCTCCTACCTCCCGCCCAACTGCCTCGATTTTCAACATATTGCCCGTGGCCACAGTGTCTCCTGCGTGCCCCCCATTCCTACCCCGGCTGGGGCTCGGGGCAGCCGCATGAGGCCGAGGTGAGCCAGCGCCCCATAGGATCCTCTCTGTATTTGAAATGTTGATATTTTGTTCATCATGAGTTTTTTGACATTAATTTTTAAAAAATATTGCACAAAACATGATTTCTCTTGACTCTTGAGTTTTCAGGTTCCCCCGAAGTTTATGCCTGAGAACGAGTGCCTCGTTCCCCTCCCGCCAGTTCTTCCCCGCCTTTTCAAGCATCTTTCCCTTCTCATTTCTTCCATGGCAGCCCTGGCTCAGAGCCTCATCTCATCAGCTGGGCAGCCTACAGTTCCCGGCTCCCATCCATCCTCAACCTGGACCCAGCATTATCTTCCTGTGTAGAGGTTGAGTTGTGAGCCTCTCTCTCCCCAAATCCTTCAAAGCTTCCTGCCTCCTTCCTGCCTCACTAGGCTCCACGTTCTAGGTCCTGCTAACCTTTCTGGCTTCCTCCCCGACCAAATCCCTCAGTTCTATGCTCGTCTACGCGCCCTTCCCCAGAGAAGCCTGCGGTCTGCCTCACTGCCTCTGGGCTGCCCTTCCTCACTTGGGGCCTCTTCCCTCCCTTGCCTTCACTGTGGAGTCTGGCTGAGCCTTCAAGGATCAGTTTCCATGAGCTCTCATGGTGGTGTCCCAAGTGGATCCTGCCACTCCTTCAGTGTTTCAACTAAACCTGCCTCTCCGACTTCTATTTACTTTACTTGCCACCCTGCCCCTGCCTGCCTCCCTAGGGGTGACTGTGGGCACCTTGTCCCGTGAGTCTGAGCCTTGTTCCCCATGCCCGGGGCTGGGTGGCGGCACTGAGGACACTTTGGCCTGCCCTCAACCTCCGGCTCCAGTTTATACTTTGACCCATATTCTGCTTATTCCTTCATGGCCTTTGTAATGGGTCTTTCTCCACAGCAACATGGATCTTCTCCTCTGCCTGATGGGTGTCCAGTGATGCCTCAGACTTGATCTGAAGTTGGAGCCTTAGGCTGACACTCTAAGCACCTAGAGCAAAGGTCTATGAAAGTAACCTCCTTTGTCCAGAACCAAAGTTATTCCATAGGACACCACAACACCTTCTATTTGGCAGTCTCTCTCCCCCTCTGAGGTCCTCCACAGGGACCTGGGATGGGGCAGGGCTGCTAGAATCTGTCCCCGTTACACGCAGACGCCCATGAGTGTGGCCAGCAGCGAGCACCCTGTGTAGGCAACGAGGGAAAGGAGGGGCCTTTTTAATGCTCACAATCGATGCCCCCCTCGAGATTGGTCTGAAGGTATACTCCAATTTCTGTGAAATCTGAACATCAAGATGGATTCATTTGCTTTTTAATGTGAAGTAATAGCCACTTCCCCAGCCACCCCCACAATGATTCAAAGCAGCACCTTCCAAGCTCATGGCTACCCCCACTCCCCGAGGGGGGCGGCTCTCCCCGCTGCTCGAGGACGGGAGTAGGAGAGGCGGCGGTAGCCTCAGTCGCCATTGCTCTGTGTGTGGGGATCTCTACCCGTACAGACGCCCACAGATCGAGAGATGGTATAGTTTCCGTGCCGTTGTTACCGTTCAGAGTCCATTTTCTGTGTCTTGATGCCTGAAGGTAAGAGATCGAGAACACGGAGGATGCCAGGAACCGTGCCACTCACTCACCATTTAGCCCTCCTGATGACCCCGAATATTGGTGCATTGGTCTCCCAGGCCTGTGGCAACAGATGACCGCAAACCGAGGGGGTTAAAACAACGGACATTTTTTCTCTCACCATTCTGGAAGTTAGAAGTCCAAAGCCAAGGTGTCCACAGGGTTGGTTCCTTCTTGAGGCCGCGAGGGAGACTGCTCCACGCCTCCCTTCTAACATCTGCTGCTTGCCTGCAGTACCCCGTGTTCCTTGGCTTTTGGACACATGGCCCCAGGGTCTGTCTCCTTCACATGGCATTCTCCCTGTGATTTCTGTGTCTGTGTCTCTGTCCGAATTTCCCTTTCCTTATAAGAACACCAGTCATTATATCAGGATCCATCCCAACCCAGTATGACCTCATCGTAATTACATCGTCAAAGACCTATTTCCAAATAAGGTCACATTCACAGGTACCTAGAGTGAGAACTTCAACATTTTTTTTTTTGGCAGAGGGATACAATTCAACCCACAATAGTAGGTATTGTTCTAATCTGCATACTAAACAGAGACACAGAGTAACTTACTCAGAGATACACAGAAAATAGGTGGTACGACTCAGTTTTTAATTTGTCTAGACCTAAGTATTACCACTTGATAATTGCTTGTACCAGGCCCTCTGCTGGGTGCTTCATTTTCATGTCTAATCTTCATTTCAACTGCATATATTTATTATCCCCCATTTTATAAAGAGAGGCATGGAGCGTTTAAGTAGCTTGCCCAGAGTCACACGAATACGAAGTGGCAGATCTGGGAATGCATCCAATAATTCTCTCCCAGGTCAACCCACCAGCACATCTCCGAGAGGCCTCACCCGTCCTCGCTCCACGTCCCCTGGTATAACTCCCTACTGCAGCTGAGAATCGTGACTGCAAGGGACATGTTGCTGGAATGTCCCAAGTGAACAGTGTAAAGGCAAAACTGATCATTGGGACCACAGCACTGCAGCTTGATACCTCACAGCGGGTACGAGTCTGATGGGAAAGACCAAGTCCCGATCTTCCTTCTGGCAGCCAGGGATGAGCTGCCCGGAAAAACCAGGAGAGTGAGTGAGTCCCGTTAAAGAGCAATATATGTCATAACCAATCACTTCCCCACAGGGCGCTGCACATATGCTGGGGCCGCTTCTGGGTTCTAAGGGGCACCTCACTGGGAAGAAGCGTCCATGACCACAGCGTGGAGGGACCACGTCTCAGCCAAACCCATTGAGTGGCTGTTTATATTGACTCATTCTTCCTCAAAATAAAAAATCAAAAGCATCACCTTCTTCACCTCCTCCCGGCGGTGGTGCTCTCTTCCCTCCTCAACACCAGTGAGGAGGCTCACACGTGCACGTCCCAGTGCCTCGCAAACACGGCAGCCTGCACACGGCAGAAGCCGCAGAAACTTCTTCAAAGCAGCACGAGAGAATGAGTGAGAAAGCCCTCAGCCCAATGCTGCTAGCTAAGGTCTGACCAGCACTTACAAGCCAGGATTGGTTTTGCTTGTATTATCTCAAAAAGATAGCACATGGGTAGGGGCGAGGAACATGGGCTTTGGAGGCAGGCGGACTCAGATGCCCACGCCAGCTCTCCTGGGCACGACCTGTGGGAACTTAGGTAATTTCTCTTCTCTCAGCCTGTTGTCTTACTTGTGAAATGAAGATGTTGACATAAATTCATAGAGATGTTATAAGGAATATTAACATACCACTCTGACTCTTGATTCCTAAGAAGGACTATAAGCTACAGGTAAGAATAAAACACTCCTTTAAATTTGATCTTATTTATCGTATCCCATGTACCTAAATTTCTATTTAAAAGAGACCTGGCTTAGGGGCACCTGGGTAGCTCAGTTGGTGAAGCATCTGCCTTCGGCTCAGGTCATGATCCCGGGGTCCTGGGACCGAGCCCCGCATCGGGCTCCCTGCTTGGTGGAGAGCCTGCTTCTCCCTCTCCCTCTGCCGCTCCCCCTGCTTGTGGTCTCTCTTTCACTCTCAAATAAATAAAATCTTAAAAAAGAGAGAGAGAGAGAGACCTGGCTTAAATAGTGAATGGGAGCACAGCTCTGGATGCATCCAGGATGTGAAAACAAGTAACAGGATGAGAAGATACCAGATTGGTAGGAGACACTCATTTCTTTCATGTGCTCAATATTATCCCACTGAATAACACAGACACACACACACACACACACACACAACTGGACGGGGTTAGGGGAGAACGAGTACCACTCTATTGCCTACCCCTACTGTTTGAGAAGTTCATTTGGAATAGGATTAGTTAGGGCATGTGAGTCCCGGGGGATATGACCCCCAAGCTCCAGACTGAAGATGTGCCAGGAAGGGACCCGGGCCCAGGACCCTTCTCAAGTAGGAGACACTATATAGGAGGTAGGAGAAAATAAACCAGACTCACATGTCTCAAGAAAGCATATAAATAAAAGAAATCTTAGGAAAAATAAATTCATAACGGTTTAGTGATTTACCTTACCTTTTTAATCGATGTCTATGATTTTATTGTTATTACTAAAATCACATTGTTCATTAACAGTAGTTTCTCACAATTTAAGTCTGTAAATACCTTATATTCAGTTTTATATCAATGAGACGAAATCCTAAAGGGCAGGGATGACGTTCTACTCAGCGGTGCCTCCCTTGACTTAGTGTGCGGAAGAGAGATGGCAAATGCAGGGTGGATTTGTGCACCTCGAAGAGAGCTACAGAGAGTCAACAGCTTCAACCAGCAGCTCCAGGCACCGCTAAGCAACTCAAGCTCCTCTTGTAATCGATGCACCTGCAGAAGTAATGTGTACTCTCTATACCAACCCTGGAATAAGGAAAATCCGTAATACAGACACAATTACAAAATGGCATTTAAGTCGGAAAAAAACCGGGAGTAAACGGATCAATGGTTGCATTTTTGTTCATTGAAAGTACCAATCCGTTTCACAAAAACAAGCTTTATAGAAAGACGAACGGAGTAATTTGTCTTGTCAGTTACAATTCATACAAAAATAGGTTCCAATATTAGCTACATACAACCACTCAAATACGATTTAAGAAGTATCAAAAAAAAAAAAACTCTTTAAAAAAATACAGTAGCAGCAAAAACACTGAACATCTGTAAACAAAACCACCAGTAACAAACCTATGCTTAATAACAAAAAAACGTGCATTCTTTTTAAAACATTAAATATCTATAATAAAAAACGATATTGGCCATTTTTTCTTAACATACAATACTCAGCATCTGAAACAATATGATCAATAATAGACACGAATCGGTGTTATAAGGCATGTTGAACAGTCTTTTCCACGACACTCAGGGCATCATGTTGCTGCAGAAGGTAAACTCTGCAAAAGTCTTCTCCTAGCTGTGATCCGCGCACACCGGGGGCACTCGGAGGACCGGAAACACTGCTTGTGAAAGCAAGCTCTGCACCCTACGAGTAGGAGGACAGCCATCAGCGAGCGGCCTATCTCGTCTTCTCACATATGTACAGATGCTCATCCCCACCCGGGGGAGAGAGGTGGTCTGAATCCAGAAACCAGTCGTACAACAGGAAATGAGGAAGGTTGTGGAAACCGCGGGATTCTGAAGTCCCCGGTATGTCCGAACACGAGGCCGAGAGAGTCTGATGCGGTGGATGCTGCCGTACCCCCCCCCCCCATCCCACTCTCAGGAGGCGGCCCTAACTGGAAATGACCCTAACTGGAGAGACCTGCCTCCCACCCTCCCTCCCTCAAGGTCATCTCCCTTTGCTGGCACTGGCCTACATCCGGTGACTGATCAACGTGGGGCTTAAAGGTCTGGCTGGCCCCCGTCCCCAGTACGTGACAACGCGAAAGGCCATCCTGCTTCGGAGTGCCCTGTGGGATGTGCTGAGCCTTTGCTGCCTGCTACCACATCACGGTTCCCCCTCTCCCTCTGCCAAGTCCTGCTGACTTCACACCCCCCACAGGTGTGGAGCCTGCGAACACGCCCCAGGAGCTTTCTGCATGCACATCCGTGCCCCGGAGCCTCTCCTGCGATCCTGCCTAAGGACCCTGCCTAAGTGCTGGTGTGGTCTCAGGGGAAGAATGGCTCTTCTCAAGGGTAAAGGCAGAAATGCACGGTCAGATCTCTCCCACGAAACAGTTTAGAGATCACGGGATTTCCTCGAGCATGAATACACACAGTCAGACAAGGTCTGAAAATCTCTGCTGTGAAGAGCCGCATAGTAAATGCGTTAGGTCTTTCGGGGTACATGGTTTCCGTGACAACGACTCAAACTGCCCTTGGAGTGCGACAGGTGCCAGAGACAGCACCTCGGCCTTAGGCATGACCATGGTCCTATTCTAAAACTGGGGCGGTGGCTGTGGCCTGTCCTGGTGGGAAAGAACGGGGGCACAGGCAAAAGGGGGACCACTCTTGCCTCCAAACACTATATGGGGAGACGTCGCCCTTCATCCACGCCCCACCCAAATACTCCTCCCCATGCACCCAAAACTCCACGAGCTCCTACCCAACATGCAAGCACGCACCAGCATCATTATACTTTAAACAACGTTGCGCTTAAATGATTAAGTTGCCATTAAGCTAATTTTGTGCTTCAGTTACTAAGCTATTATCAAGCTGACGTTACGAAGTTGTTAAGATACCTGCACATCTTCTACATGTCTCGGTCTGAAAGGGGAAGATGACGGCTGTACTCCGGCAGAATTCACAAATGAAGCCCTTCCCTCGACACAGCTGCAAGAGAAGGGCCCAAAAAGTTGAAATCCTCCTTGGCAACGTTTCTTTGGATGGAGAAGCCAAATCACTACTTTTACAGAACTTTATAAACATCTGTTTTTAAGTGTCCGGCACCCCAGCCTCTAGAAGGAACGGGATGCTATATCACGCTATAGTAGGGTAAACGAATGCGAACAGTGTGTGTGCATCTGCTTTGCCTGGAGAGATTTCACAGCCCTGGATCCCAAGTCCACACGGCTGTCCTTGGCACGTCAGGGCAGATGGGAGTCAGGCAAGGCCCCGAGCAGGGCTTGGCACCGACACTAAGAAGTCACTTGGCCCAGGCTTGCTTCCCGGCCCTGCCACTTGCCAGCACGACGATCTTGGCGGTTACCGAATAGCTCTGAACCTCATTTCTCTCATCTGGAAATAGTGTTCCCCACACTTCCCTCCTGGTTGGTGGGGGTTAAATGAGGTCAAGTGCAGAACACTCATCCCAGGTCCTGATGGGTAAGGGACAGCTCAGGGACACACCGATCCCGGGTGCACCTTACCTCACAGCTGGCCACATGTGCGATGGAAGCTTTTAGAATGTCCTTGAGCAAGGGCACCAGCAGCCTTTTCTTGACCCTGACCAGATCCTCCAGGGAGAACAGGTGGAGCTCATCAGTCAAGTGCCTCGGCACCTGCTCAAACTCCTTTAGCTCGCTGCCAGGGAGGAAACAAAGAGCAATTCAGACAGCCACCCATGCAGAGGCCATGACACAAGAAGGCTGAGCAGCCAGTGGTTTTCTCTGGCGCTCACACTTAATTTTTTTTGAACTCCAAAAAAAAAAAAAAAAACCAAACCCCAAGAGCAAGTTGACTTGACTCACCGTCTGACATTTTGCAAGTCTGTTTGGAAGCCAGGAAAAAATTCCATAAAAGCGGATTTCAAAAAGCTGAACCAGCAGAAAAACCTATCTCTTGCAGTCTGCCCATGTAGATACTGAGCAAAAAACAACTGCACATTGATTTTTCAAGTCTTGGAAACATGTACTGAGATTTAAAAAAAAAAAAAAAAAAGACTACCTTATTCATTCCAGCTCAATTTCAAGTCCATCCGCATGCTGACTATTGTCCAGCCAACAGGAGAAGCACTGCTTGTAGGCAGGTGCGTGACTCCCCCATCCAGGAGTCCAGCACTAAGCACAAGACCCAAGCATCCAACTGTGAGCTGATCGTAGCCACCTGTGTGCCCCAAGGACATTCACATACTGATTGTAACTGTCTCCAACCCCTACTGATCTCCCCCTGAATTCCCTAAATCAGTTAGTGGCATCACCATGCACGCATGCCCAAGCCAGCCACTGCCTACACTGGACTTGACATTCCAGTCATGCCAAACTGGGCTGAATTCTCCATCTGGCCTGAGATGCTCGCTCACACTGCACCTTCTGCTGGGGGATCCCTGACACTTCTTCTTCAGTCCGACTAGCTCTTCAAGCTCAGCCTTTTTCTCCAAGAAGCTCTGTGACCCACAGAGGGGCCCCGCCCAGCCCTTAGGACCTAAATGTTGCCTCTTCTGTGTCCTCAGGGCCCCGTGCATCTATGTCTAACACACAGTCCGGCAGTGATGGGTGTGTGCTTTCCCCCTGGATGTAACATGAGTACTGTGGATTGTTTATCTGAAGCACAGAATGGATACTCAAGAAATTTTTGTAGACAGTAATTGTGGGGAATGTTATATGCTACAGACAAGAAAACTGACAGCCTGAGAAGTAATTAACCTGTCACACCACCGCCATGAGGTAGAGCTTAAGGCCAGATAACTACAGGAGACATGCTCCTCCCCAAGAAATTTAATTCAAAAGCAGGGTCTGCATCACCAAGGAGAGGCCCGAGGGAGTCGCTGTGCTAAGGGGCCCTGTGGACTGGAGGAGGTGGGACCAGGTGGCACCCAGGGGACTGGCAGATGTGTGGAGGCTCCGAGCCCTCCCCGCCCCTCAGGCCGGGCCTGGCCCAGCCAACCCCAGTACCTTTCAGCAAACCTGCAGGTCTTCAACATCTTCTTGATATGAAAAAGCTGCTCCCGGGTTTCCTAATGTGAGAAACCAAACGGGGGAAAAGTTAATGCGATCGACGGCACAGAAAATGTATAAATCAAATTTAAATGTTATTTCTAACTTTGAAATGCTACAACTCTGTAAGACAAGCCTTTGAAGTAAACAGTCTATATAGCAGGGGTTCCTGACTGAGTCCAGGAGGGACCCAAGTTGAGTGGAGCCTGAAGCTTACACAACCACTGGGGGCCTTCTTTGAGGAAAACACAAAACTATGTATAAAAGATGGAGATCCTGCCCTTTGTGGCAACATGGATGAAACTGGAGGGCATTGTGCCGAGCGAAACAAGACAGACACAGAAAGAAAAAAGCTGCCTGGTCTCCCTTACACGTGGAATCCTAAAAAAGACAAATACACAGAAGCAAAGAGTTGAACAGAGCTCTCCAGGGATGCGGAGGTGGGGCAAATGGGGAGATGCTGGTCAAAGGGAACAAAGGTGCAGTTGTGTAGGATGAGTAAGTCTAGAGATCTAATATATGGTATGATGACTATAGTTAATAATACTGTATTGAGGACTGGAAATTTGCTAAGAGAGTACATTTCAGGTGCTCCCACCACCCACCCACACACACACACACACACCCCGTAACTGCGAGGAGCTGGATATGTTAATTATCTTGACCAGTAATTATTTCACTTGCATTTGAATATCAAATTACCATGCTGCACACCTTAAACATAAACAAGTTTATTTTAAAACTACTAATAAATAAATTTCAAAAGCTAGGTATAAATGCCAAACTATGCGTAAATAGGAAATTTGGTACGCGGCCTTGGAAGGGGGGCCGTGAAGCTAAAGCTCCAGCGGCTGGCGGTAAACCCGCCCCGCGGAGGGTCCGCCTGGGTGCCCCCGGAGACCCAGAAGGCGCGAGGCGCATTGGCGGCCAGGGCCCTCGGCGCCACCGGCCGCGCCTCCCCCGCGGAGGCAGCTGCTCACCCTCGCTCTGTCCAGTTCCTTGGCCTTGGCGTACAGGCCGGGGCCAACGCTCAGCAAATTGAAAACGGGCTGGTGCCACAGGCTGTCCAGCAGCCGTCTGGAGAAATGGCTGACGTAGTATTTCCTGAAGTCCCACGTGGTCAGGATCCGGGCAGGGATGCAGGTCTCCTCGTAGGTGTGGCAGCAGTCACAGAAATACTTCCCCAGGTAGGCGCAGTACCGCAGGCGCTTCACAAACTCTGCAAGAGCACAAGGGCGGGGGGGGGGGGCGGGAGGGGAGCACAGCTCACCTCGGCTGGCAGCCCTCCGCCCCCCGCCCCCCGCTTCCCATTCCCACCGGGGTTCAAGCCTCGGACTGCTGGGCTTGCGCTGGACCCGCCGCAGCTGCGAAGGCTGGGGCGGGGACTGGAGGCCGTCTGTTATGGCCACTCCCGAGTGTTGCTGTCCCAAAACAGGAGTCAGAAAAAAGAGACACCGCCCCCCCCACCCCAGCACCAGTACTCCTGAATTTGGAAGACGGGCATTGTAAACTGCGCTGTAGCCAAAAGAACATGAGATTTGGAGTCTAGCAATCGGGTGGGCGCCACCCTCTGCCTCCGGCTGGGCTGGCAGGCAGCCTGAGCGCTGGTGGGAATCTCCTCAGGCCAAGTAGCCTGAGGCCATAAAAAGCAGCTCAGAACTAGATTCTGGGATATCACACGGACCGAAAGTGCTTGGTAAATTGTCAAGCACGCCAGGTACGCTCTTAGGGAGTAGCACCCCAAAGACTTCCTGGATAAATCCATGGGAAACACATTACAGAAATGCACCAAGGATGGGAATAGGCGAGACGTGGAAACATGGAATGCCGATGACCAGGAATGATGTGAAAAACCATCTCGACAACAAAGACGTGCGTGTTGAAAGAGTGAACTCCTTGGTTTTGCATCAAACTCTCACAAAGGTAGAGGACCCAGAGCAGGCGAGGTGCAGAGGGGCGGACACTCACTCTCAGGGCTGACAGGAGGGGACTTTCTCGGAGGACATTTCCATGATATACTTTTAACTCTTCAGTGTGTAGTGGGAATCCTACTTCTGTGACACCAGACAGAAATGCTAACATGCACACACGGAGATACAGAGAGGTGTTCATACAGCACATTTATAGTGGGAGCGGGGGACAGCAATCTAAAGATACATTAAGAAGCAACTGGCTAGACAAGTATGGTGTACTCAACAATGAAATGACAGAGAACCGATGAATTTCATGGATGAGTGTGGGCAGTGGACATCCAGTTCCAGATAGGTATACTGCGATCTTGATTTTGCTTTTAAAAATACACATACACCGTCCAAGAGATCCTCACTAAAAAGCCAGTAGTGAATACTTCTAAAGCGCGGGAGAAAGGATTTTCGTTCTTTTGCATTTTTTAATTTGCTAAAATGAGCATGCATTGCTTTCAGAAATATATCTAACAAAATATATTGACAAGCAAAAGGTATAGGGACAAAGGCAACAAATCCCTGGGTACCCACCACCAAGTTTAAGAAAAAGACAGCAATTCAGTTAAGTCTCCCCTGTGTCCCTCCCTCAACATCTGAGTCTAAGACGAGCGAGGATGATATTTATCATTCACCCTTTGACTCACGGGTTTCTTTGTAATGAAAATACCATAAGGTATAATACAAATATTAGACGATACATGCTGCAAAGATGAAATGAATTGCTGGGTGGGAAAGCAGCTACCAAAGTACCTGGGACACTGCAGATTCTAAATCTAGTTTCCTCATACCAGCTTCCAGAATAAACAAGGCCACTTATATCTTAATGAAAGGAGATGTTACTTGAATAACGTGAGCTTTCAATGAGTTAAGTACATTGCTAGTCCTATATGCTTCTGCACATATGTTTACCAAAAAAATAAAATAAAACAAAACCAATCAATCAATCAATCAATCAATCAACAGGGCCTGAGTGACTGCAAGAGCAATCCTTTACTGAGCACTTACTTTGTGTCATGCTCTGGTTAAAAGTCTCACCTACGCTGTGTCATTCTCTGGGGCTATTACTTCCCTTATTTCACTGATGAGAGCAGAGACAGGGAATAATAATCGGCTTATGCCAGAGACACACAGGGAGCAGGCCAGTGGGATTCCCACCCACGTCTGGCCTGAAGCTCCAGCTTGTGGCCATCATAGCCCCCTCATCCTCTGCCGCATTCGACGGAGGGCAAGGGCGAGGAGCTAATGCCTTTGCGCTTGCCCAAATTATCCCTCAGACCCCGGTAGCACCCATTGATTCTTATTATTTACAATAGTTTATGCTCTATAAAGTTGTCATGAACACCAAATTCGTGAAGACTGAAGTATGCTCCTGAGGGAAATACAGGTTTAGGCTTCTGTGAGCCTGTGGTAACAACATTTTCACCAACTGGTCAGTATATAACCTTGTTTCATGTGTGTTTTCTGCTTAAAGACACTGTACTTAATATATTTTGTTATAATTTATTTTTAACAACCTTATATATATTACCAATAATATACCAACAATAATAATCTTATATATACATTACCAACAATATATTATTTTGTTATATTTAGTTATATCATTGAATTCAGGGCCGACAGAACTATCTATAACTCATGCCTGAATGAAGCTTATCTAATGCATGTATATTTTCCATAAAGCAAATCATAACCTTCTCGTGCTTAGGAGCACTTCAGTACTACATGTGGGGGATATTTTAAACAGCTAAATCGCCAACAAAAAATGCAAAACTGTAAAAAAAAAAAAAGGCATTCAATAAACCATGAGAAGGCCTTATTTAAAGTGTGAGAAATAAAACAAGGCAGAGCATTGCCTTCTGCTGGAAACGTGTGCATCAGGCAACTCAAATTTCAGGCAACTCAAATTTTTGGTGCTTTGTGCATATTTGGGCATGACTATGAAAACACCATGAGTAATGATTTTGTGGTCACCAATAAATTTTATCGAATAGATGAATCTGCAAATATGGAATCATAAATAACCAGGTTCAACTATAAGTACACACAACTAGGGTTGGCGAATTATTGTTAAGAACTTGTTAAGTGCTTAATGTCTGAGTTCTTAAATTTCAGATCTTGAGAAGTCAGTTGTATGTGTCTATTTCCCACCCCGGATTAAGATTTCTGATTTGGCAGATAATGAGTATTTTTTTGCTTGTGACAGGGCCTTGATACATTTTCTATAAAATGGGCCCAAAGGAAGGTATGCTCTGGCCCTTGCACTCTACATTTCTGATCAAACTTAGCAAGATGGGAAGAGAAAGGGGGACAGACGGGGCCAATAAATTTTCCTGATGTAATTCATCTTTCCCTAAAATCTACAATCTTAACATTTCAATATCCAGTCACTCATTCATCAAATTTCATTGACTATCTACTAAATACTACACTATTAATACAGAATAAATTATGTCTCTTTCTTTCGGTTTCTTGAGTCCTTTAATTAAAACAGAGCCAAACGACGCATCCTAAACCAGCTGTTCTAGACCAGGGGTGATTTTTTTTTTCTCTCTAAGAATATTTGGAAATATCTGGAGATATTTCCAGTTGTCGTAATTGGGGAGCCACCAGGGGCATCTGATGATGCTACTGAGTGTCCTAGAATGTACAGGACAGCCGTACAACAAAGTCAAGTAGTACTGAAATTGAGAAGCCCTGCTCTAAAACCACAGCTGTTTCTCACTGGAGGAGAAGTCAATGTCACAGAAAAAAAAAAAAAAATAGGAAGGACAAATTCTAGAACGGTGCTGTCCAACAGAACTTTCTGGGAGGATGGAAATGTTCTAAGCCCGTACCATCCAATGTGGTAGCTACGAGTCCCATGTGGCTACTGAGCACTTGAAATGTCGCTAGTGTGCCTGAGGAACTGGATTATTAACTTTAGTTAATTTAAATTAAATCTTAAATAGCCGCATGAGCTAGTGGCTACCATGTTGGATTGTGCAGGTATAGAATAAAGATGGCTAAAGAGAAATAATAACTAAATGCAGTGTATGAAACTTGGTTAGAACCTGGGTGGAAAAATTAGCTATAAACGACATCATGAGAAAAACAAACGAATATGGACTAGTATGAGAGAATATTTAGAGAATTGTTATTAATTTCCTTTGGTGTGCTAACTGTTCATCATCCTTATTTTTAGAACATGCTGAAGTATTAAAGGGTAAACTGTCATGTTGTCTGCTTACTTTTCAAATGGTTCAACATGTGTGAGACTGGAGGGAACAAAGGAGACCTGACAACTACGTGCCATGTGCAATTCTGGATTGGACCCGGGAGCAGATCAAGGTCATGCGTGAAATCTGAATAAGTCTGTGGCTGAGTGAATAGGATTGTACCAATGCAAAGTTCTCGGTTGTAGTAATTATACTCTGATGATTATAAGACGTTAACAGAAGGGAAAGCTGGATGAAGGGAATACAGAATATCTCTGTACCATTTTTGCAACTCCTCTGTAAGTCCAAAAATACCTTAAAATAAAAAGTCAAGGGGCACCTGGGTGGCTCAGTCGGTTAAGCGTCTGCCTTCAGCTCATGTCATGATCTCAGGGTTCTGAGATCGAGCCCCAAGTCAGGCTCCCTGCTCGGCAGGGAGTCTGCTTCTCCCTCACCCTGCTTGTGCTTGCTCTCTCTCTCTCAAATAAAATCTTTTTTAAAAAATTAAAGAAATAAAAAGTCAAAATATATCCTAAGAACTATATAGGAAGTTCATAGGAAAAGTCCAAAATTATCTCCGCGGCTGATAACGCATCTACCATCTGTGCCCTGGGCAACTGTGAGCATGCTTTCTTCTCTCCTTATTACTCTCTGGTCACACAGGACTTCTCTGCAATCGCTGCAGGCCCTTTGCTCGGGGTGACCCCTACCCCCGCAAAACACACGCACATGCTTCTGGGGATAATCACTTCCCTACAGAACTTCTCCCTCCCAGCCCCCCAAGCCCAGATTCAGTTCCCATGCGGTAAATCCCACAGCACTCTTGACTTTCTCTTTCATGGCAAGTATCATCCCTGCTGTTCACTTGGCTGATGACTCTGCCTTCCTGTAAGCAAGCTCCATGAGGGAAGGATCATGTTTATGCCACCAGGGAAGGCATACATCTCCGTAGTTGAACAAACTTAAGGAGATCGTTTAAAAGTTGGTGGAATCACAGTCACGTGTTCATAGTTTCTGACTCATGCACTCAATCATGCACTCGATACTGAGGAACCAGGATACAGTGGTTAACCAAACAAACATGGTCCCCACCGGACTAGCTGGGAGGATGAGTCCTGTAACTGAAACCAGTTACAACTATGATGAATGGCGGGCACTGTCATTCAATATGATAGAAGGAATCCCAGACAGATTGCTGTTTTCTGTATTTCTTTCCTGAGGTGGAGGTCCTCAAAGTCTTTTTCCTTCCAAGACTTCCTATCAAAGGCCAAGAGAACCCTTTCCAGCAAAGCTCCTCTTCCCAGCCTTCTATAGGTCAGACCTGTGGATGCCCTCATAAGCAGAACAAGTGATTCAGAGTCTTCAGTGGGCAATTTGCATTTCTGACTGGAAGAAGTCTGATTTTCTAGTCCCCAGCTGGCCCAGGAATGATTCCTCTAGGCCACCTCCTCAAACCCTCTCAGAGGAGTTTGGCTAGCTCCTTGATAAGCCATTCAAGCATGGAACAAGTCTCTTTAGAGGAAACCGTGCACCAGGTGCTCTTGAAAGAGCAGGGGATAGAGCAATGAATAAAACAGACAACATGTCTGTCCTGACGGAACTTTGAATCTAGACAGGGACGCAGACCAATGATAAGAAAAATTAGTAGAATCTAAAAGAGTATTTTAGGAAGATAAGTACTAGAATGAAAAATAAGGAAGGGTAAAGTGTACACGTGTATGTTTGTGGCCAGGAGTGTGGCAAGGTGGACATTTTCAATAGGGCAGCCAGGGAAAACCTTGTAAATTCTGAGTGAAGATGTGCAGGAAGTAAGGGAACCAGCCATAGGGATGTCATTCTAGGGCGAGAAAAGCAGAAATGCAAATCCCTAAGTCAGGAGTGAGCCTGCCTCCTTCAAGGACCAGAAGGGAGGCCATGTGGCTGGAGCTGAGTGCCCAATGGGGAGAGAACTAGGAGATGGTCCAAGAGGTAACAGGCCAGCCATGTAGCCTTATATATAGGTCACGATGGCCTCTTCATGAAAGAGAGGGCAGTATTGTGAAGTTCTTGTAACAACTTCATCAAAGGCATCGTTCACAAAAACAGTGCACTCTCCAACTTTGCTATTCTTCCCCCGTCACAGCATACTCAACAGGTAATCCACTGCTCATACTTACTAGGTTCTATTGGAGTTCCACAACCAGCACACAAAAAATTCTGGGCTGCTACCACGAGTTCCCTCCTGAGTACAGAAAATGATCACAGTTACAGTTCAGAAGTAGCCAATGGAGCATTTTTCACTGACTGGAAAAGAAACCGACATCATGGTGCTTTTCTTGGCTCGGGGCCTTAATTTTGTCATTTTTCATTTGGGAAAAAAAAATAACATTCTTCAACAGAGTTTTTTAGTTGAGATTTCTGGATCTTTTATTTTATTATTTATTTTTATTTATTTATTTGTTTGTTTGTTTATTTTGAGATCTCTGGGCCTTTTAAAAACCCCTGCTATCACCAAAACCGAAGTCAGTATCATGAATAACTATTCCACCATGGGATCTTTAGAGACTGCTCACTGTGCATGCACAGGACCCCCACCAGAGAAAACTGGAAACACACAACGCGTGCGAGAAAGTTCAGGGAGATGAAACACCAAGAGGTGATGTGCCCGGGAAGTTCACAAATGGATCCAAAGAAACTTGGATGAGTAAGAGGTCATGTAAGACCTAAGTATCAAACATATTTGGAGAGCGATAGTCTACTGAAGTGTCTTCTATTGAACTGTTGACACCACAACTTCATATGTGATTTGGAAATACAAAGGAAATTGCAAAATTTTATTACAACTTAGGGTCAGCAAAAATGACCAACGTAAAACTGTGTGGACCCCTACCTGTCTCCCTTAGAGAGGATATAGGGAAATTCTCGAGAAAAGATAGCCTTGGCTAAGGAGAGTGACCCCACCCCAAGTCTGGAGAAGGAGCTCTTCTGCCCAAGCACCGCAGAGACCTTCTTGTCATTCTCTCAAAAGAAAAACACAAGACAGAGCCTATAGGACACTTACATGGGGCAAAGGCAAGAACCTTTGCCAGTCCCTTCTTTATGCTGCAGTTTGGGAACACACTAAATATAAGCCAAGAGGAATGGAGAAATTGTAGTTGGTTAAAATGTCCCCTTGTAATGTCATATACTCTCAGAAACAAATTAAACTTCTACCTTAAATTATTATATATTTTATTTATACATATACATTTATAAAAATGAGTTTATTTCTTTTTTTCTTTTGCATCCTCTTTTGTTGTTTTGTCTTTCAGGATTTTGTTACTTCTTAGAGAACAAAGGTATTTTTATTTGCATCCTGTTGCATTTTTTAACTATTAGGAGCCCTCCTCAGGATTAGAGTTTCCCTTTTAAAAAAATTTATCCATTGATTTTTCTTTCACATTGTACTGGTGAATAGAGTGGTCTTTTAAAATTATTGTATATGATTTTTAAGGTTCAATATTAGCCACTTAAAAAAAATCCCCTTTAAACCTACTTAATTTTCAATTGCTATGTAATGTACGTAATTAAGGAAATAGTTAAATTCTCAACTTGTCAAACTTACAGAGCCCCCCAAAACCCATGATAAACAGGGAGCTAAGAAGCTAACTCAGAAAAATATGCCCAACTTTCCTTATTCCTAAAACAAATTTTCCTTCATCCCTCGGTGTGTAATTTTCTTCCCTCACCTACTTCCACAAAGAGGTGGGACCCAACACACCTTGTTACCTGGATTGGAGGCCCACACAACAACCCAGACTTACTTGAGTGGTGGATGAACATTAAGTATGATTTGAAATCTGGGGGGCTCCCAGTCTTCAGCCCCTCTGATCTTCGACTTAAGGGTAATTTCCTGAATGACATCCACACTGGATTCAAAGTCTTTTTGGACCCACTCTTCATTCACTACCTGCATAACACAGAAGAGGATTGCAGAGCAACCTAAACAAGCATATTTCAGGAACTGAAAGAAAAAGAACATTCAAGTGTGTCTCCAGCATGAAAATTTGCCATGAAAAATTAAAACTGCTTTCGACTGAACGAAAGGAGCCCTCCCTGTATCTAAAGCCATCTGCAGAAGACTTGCTTGAAACACCATCCAGCTGAAATCACTTTTCTTAGTATTTTGGGGAGTTCATTTGTTTCCAGACTTCAGATTACTGTAAGTAGTAGGTCATTGTGACCAGAATGCTTTTATTCACAGCAGAAGCCTTACTGCTCTTAGTCCATAGGCTGCCAGATGCTGCCCACCAGAACCCCCAGCTGTTGTCAGACTTCCCCCGAAACTGCTCTTTTAAGATCATTCCCCTGCTTAAAAATGTCCAGTGGCTTCCTTCTGACCCATTCAACTTTCCTGTTCGCATTTAACATGCAAACTCCTCAAAGTAGCATTCTATGTCCTCCACAATGTGACCACATCCTTCAAACCTAATTTCCCAGGAAGCTCAACACGGATACACAAAAACACACGCTATCAACCACAGCAAGCCACCCTGCTCAATAAACATACCACACGCCACCACCACCACCCCGCCCCCATCACTTTTACTCCTGCTGCCCTTTGCCAAGCTCCCCTTCCATGTGTTTCTACCTGCTACCGTTTTCAAGTCCTGAGATCTCCAATTGGCCTTCTCAAGTCCCCTGATAAAATTAAACGCTCCTTCTCTGCACTTGCAGAGTGCTTTATTCCTACCCCTAGGTTAGCTTTGCCGCGAAGTTCTCTCCCCGCAGTGGGATGTGCGCTGTCAGAAGGCGGTGTGTCTACAAGGGACCAGGATGGGCATGACTCCTGCTCTTCCACTGACCAGCCCTGCCGAGAGGCTGGAACTAACACTTTAAAGTAAACATAACGACAGCATCCACTTAAGAGGATACTGATGATGAAAATGTGAAATGCTGGATTCCCTGGCGCATAATCAACACTCAATAAATGTCAGATTCATCCTTCATTTCATGTCTCCCCCAACACCCAGTGACCATACAAAGAAATGCATAAATGTCTGAAGTGAACAGCAGGAAAGATGAGAGTTTAGGAACTTTCAATTCAAGGCCAACTCATTTTGATACTTACTTTCGAGCCAGCAGCATTTAGAGAATCTGCCAGTTGATGATTAACATCTGACAACATCCAGCGCTTCTGGAATACTCCGTACAACTCTTTGGCTATTAGCTCAGCAGAACTGAAGTCTGGCTCATAAATGACACTGAAAGGTAAGAGATGCAAAAAGTGGAAAACTACATTCGTGAGGAGTATGTTGTGAGTCTTCATGTTTTCAATCATCCTTCCCACTCCAAAAACTCAGAAGAGGTGTCACATGAGGGAGCATGCACCACCCACCCACTGGCTGTCTTACTCAACACAGCCCCTTTTATTTATGGAGGGTACCAAGACTGGGAAATGTGGTAAAAAGAGCACTGGATTTGGAACCCGAAGACCTGAGTTCAAGTCCTATCTCTGCTCATTTACCAGCATTATGTCCTGAGGCACATTTAGTCTGAGCCTCAGTTTCCACATTTATAAAAATGGGGTTAAAAACCACCCAGCCTGATTAAATTAGAATGTATACAAAGGCCTTTAAACACTATATATATATATCGGAGGTGATGGCCCAGGGGTCTAGGGGCAGGTGGACACGGAGGAGAGATACCTCTTAGAGGAGCTGCAGGAACATCCACAGGTTTCTGTGATACTGCTAAACTCACCAAGTTCTGCAAGTAAATCAAAGAAAAGGTATTCAAGTATTTCAGTCTGTTTTGCTAACTCACACTCAATTCTATAAGAACACAAAAATAAATCCCTGCATCTCAGAAAGAACTAGTTCTTCAGCATCTCCATACTTCAGGTTCTTTGGGTTTCTATTACAAGACTACAGCTAATGACCAAAGATGGGATTTCAAAATACACTCACCTGAAATTCCACCAAAATTTAATTGAGAGGCCAAACAGATCTCAGACTATAATGAGTATCTGCTTTTGCATTCAATTCTACAAGTGAGATGAGAGATTGATTATGAAGACCTTTGGAATAAGAACATCTTTTTTTTTTTTTTTTAATCTGACATAATCTGATCTTGGGAGAAGTTTCTTTGAAAGCCATTATAACGTGGTACCGCATGGGATGCGTGTCCATATGTGTGTGGGGGAGGGGAAGTACGAGCCGTCGCTGGTGAGTTTCCAAATCTTACCTATGATAACAAAGTCATCGAAGTCACATTTACAGGCTTCTTTCAGCACATCACAGTAAGTGGGTGTCCCAGCCACGGGACTGCCCTGTAGCACCGCACAACCTAAAAAAGGAAATGAAGGGGGTTTCACCAACAAGAAGAAAAAAGAAAACCTGTCACAGCCAACTAATTAGAAACCGGGAAATAAAATGGGCCAAGAGTTTACATCCAAAGAGTTTAAAAATCCAGCTTGAAGAATTAAAAAATGCAGGGAGCTATTTTTGTGTTGTTCTTCCATTCACTGTGATTAAATGAAACAGACGGATGAGGATCTATGATGATGAGGGGGTTCATAAGAGTAAGCTGCCTACTTTTATGTGTGTTCGAAATTTTCCATAATGCAAAGTTTTAAAAAAATGAAAGAGGGTGAAAATCAGCTTCACAGTGAGTCAAAGAGTAGAGGTAACATAAACATTGTACTGGGTTAAAGGTGTCCCCCCAAAATTCATATCCACCCAGAACCTGTGAATGTGACCTTATTTGGAATTAGGGTCTTGAGGAATTAGATATGATCGTTAAGCTTAGATTATACAGGTTCAGGGTGAGCCCTAAATCCAATATGACTAGTTATATTATAAAGAGGGAAATTTGGACACAGACACTGACATCCAGAGAAGGCCATGTGAAGACAGAGGCAGAGACAGGAGTGATGCGTCTACAAGCCAAGAAACACCAGGGACCGGCGGTAACCACCAGAAGCCATGGAACAGGTTCTCCCGCAGAGCCTCCAGAAAGAACCAACCCTTCCAACAACTTCATTGTTGACTTCTGGCCTCCACAACTGAGAGAAAATACATTTTCTGTTGTTTTCAGCCACCCAGTTTGTGGTGTTTTGTTACAGCAACCTAAGGAAACTACTACAAATATATCCATGTTTTTCTATCCTGAAAGCTAGCCTGGGGAATTATCCTAAGAATGTCATTAAAAAGAAAAAAAAAAAAAAAGGTGAAAAACGCAGGCTTTGATCAGAAGGAGCTAGCTGCAGTCCATTTAAAATATTAAAATACTGAAAGCTACCTACATGCCAAATAATAGTAAATTGATATTGCAAATCATGTTATTAACTCCAGAAATACCATCACGGAAAAATGTGAAAACTGTAGCAACTTGACAAACTGGATATGAAATACTGTTAATATAATGTAATCATATTATTAATTAATTAATACAAGTATGTAATCACAATGAAACTGTACTCAAGGTCATGCAGAGGTTACATGAAATCGCTTCACAGGGAACTGGCCAGGATTTAAAACTGCACTGCCTGGGTGGTGCAGTCAGTTAGGCATCTGACTCGACCCTTGGTTTCAGCTCAGGTCATGATCTCAGGTCCTGGGATCAAGCCCTGCATCCAGCTCCGGTGCTCAGTGCGGGGTCTGCTTGGGATTCTCTCTCCCTCTCCTTCTGCCCCTCCTGCTCATCCACAAGTGCTCTCTCTCTCTCTAAGATAAATAAATAAATCTTAAAAAAAAAAATTTAAAAAACCCCAACAACACTGCCCCATCCTAGCTGGGTGACTGTGGACAATCAACTTCTCAGCTTTGGTTTCCTCCTGGGTATGATAGGGCAACCTCACCCACCTCTGTATTTCCCCGCCCTCTTTTGACCACGATCCACAATAACATACATTTGCATTGCAACTCAGTACAAACACAAAAATATATTTCACTGATTCAAAAAAAAAAGTTCCAGGAAGCACGGCTCCCTCTAAGTGAGTTGAATGCTGATACTTTCTATTCTTTTTGTTTGTTTGTTTTTAAAAGCTCTCAAGACCAACCTGTAACTTAAAGTATGCTGACCTACCTCAAAGGAGTAATATCCACCATGAGAAATGTCACAAGAGAGATATGTGATTAAAAAATGCATATTTTTATTGGGGTGGTAGAAATATTTTAAAATTTCATTTAACATATTTATATTCATATTAAAAATATTCAGGGGCACCTGGGTGGCTCAGTCAGTTAAGCATCTGCCTTCAGCTCAGGTCATGATCCTGGGGTCCTGGGGTGGAGTCCTGCATGTCACCAGGCTCCCTGCTCAGCGGGGAGTCTGCTTCTCCTTCTGCCATGCTCCCCCTGCTCATGCTCACTCTGTCTCTCTCAAATAAAATCTTTAAAAAAAATTTCCGCTAGACATGAGCTTCCACTCAGCCATTCAACAAATATCTCTAAAATACTATTTCTGGCAAGGCTTATGCTGAAGGCAAATTCAAATGAGACAAATGCTTATCCATCAGAGTTTAAAACCTCGTAAGGGAGCTGAGACACAGACACACATAACCATGAGAAGACACAACTGCATGCCATGGGCCTTAAGAAGGCAAGCCCCCATGCTGCACAACTCCAGGAGGGAGTGACGCATGCACGCAGATAATCATAGAGCATTCTGGAGCACAACTTAGGCTTCATTCCACATGAATGGTGCCCTGGCCCTGTGATGCAACCTGGGAGCATGTCACAGTGCTGGTGGAGGGGGACTGCTTGCAAAGAATGAGAAGAATCAAGGAACTGATGTGAAGTTCCTGGGGACCCAGCATTCCAGGGAGCCTAGCCAAAGCAAAGGGTGGGAGGCAGAGGCTTGGGAGAAATGTCTGTGGGCAAGTTTACCAGGCTCGTGTAACTAAAGCCCATGGTACAACATAGATCAGGAGATGCCTGTTGGGAAGCTGTATCCCACAAGGCTAAAAATCCCAGAATCAAATATGGAGCAATCTCAGCAGGCCATTTTAGAGGAGTAGAAGTTGTTCTAGGAAGACAGATGTGTGTGGGATCGATGAGGGGAAGAGGCTGCAAGTAAAGAGAAAATTAAAGCAGCACATGTGTCTTGAGGACCTAAAGGCACTTCTTACGGAATGACTGGCCGGAGGCTAGTGTGATGGTCCAGGTCAAAGGTGGATAGGGAACGGATGGAGGGGATGTGTCATTATTACTCAGAAGTCAGGGATGACTTGTTCACTAGGAATGGGGCCAAAAAACAGACACACAAAAAAGAAAGACTCAAAGATAAAGCACAGAAATGGGATACTGAAATAGGAATCATTTCTTTTCTCCCCACCGGTGGCCTCAGGGGGACGATGATCCAATCACATTCCCTCGCTCCCCTGGCCATGGCTGGCTGACCAGTTGGGGACACCCAATCAAAGCAGGCCCCCTCATGCGCTCTTCCCTGGGAAAGTGGACCCGGGGTCCTGCAAGACGGGGTTGAGCTGTGCAGCAGGTTATTCAGGAAGTTTTAGAAAGTTTTAGACAAAGGATTTGAAGATCTACTTTGGGATGTGACAGGAAAAGAGATGTAAGTGGAGAACACAGCATAAAGTTTCTCTGATTTGCCCCACTTGCCTTCATAGCCACTGTCAGAAGAATTGGAAGACCCAGATTCTTGCTTTACATTGGTATAAAAGGTGACTTCAGAGTCAGCGTGGTCATTCCCGAGCGCCCCACTGGCTTCTTCCACACCCCAGTGCTCTGTGTGCTGTTGACTCAGGATGTTGCACTTAATTTTCTCCATTGCTGCTATAATCATATCTGCAACATAGAAGTGGGCATTTTCCTGCAGGAAAAAAAAAGTACCTGTTAAAATACTCACAAGCATAGTCGACTGTTTTTCATTGAGGGTGTACTGGATTGAAAAATCAAGAAGCTGTATTTAAGTGGAGTTAATCCATAGAAATATAAATGTTCACTTAACTGAGTGCTCACAGGTCATTATATGAAGTATAGCCCATATCTCCCAGACACATAAAATTTACTCGACTGCGACCAACAGACACCCCAAGTTGAATTTTTCATGATATGAGACCCCGGGTTGGTGGTGGCCCAGGGGTAGACATCAGGCATCAGTCATGGAAAACTTCCCAGCCGCGCACAGGCACTGACTCAGAGCCCTTCTTAGCTCAGTGCTCCTGCCAGAGGCTGAAATGCAACCACCTATCCGCCAGGCTTCATCAAGTGAAGTTTCCAGATTTAAATCACAACAGCACCATCCAAGGAATCAACATTCTCTGTGGTTTTAAAAAAAGAAAAAAGAAGCTGTGTTCACCTTTTCGACATCGACTGGGAGTAGAAATACCTCTGGAGAGAAGGAATTCGAAAAAGTGGTTCTTCCACTGACTTGAACAGCACCTGCCAATGCAGCAAGTTATTAAAAACGGAGAAAAAAAAGTTCAAAGATTCCCTAAGAAAACAAAACAATGCTAGGAAGTGGCTTTTAAATATTGTAGGGTGTTTGTTTTTGAATTAGCACAATTCTAGAATAAATTAGGATGCCAGAAGAAGACAGATCCTTCTGGTGTTAGGCTTTGCAGACATTGCCTTAATGGGGGTCATTTCTACAAAAACCTATTGGAGCAACTTGGGAGGAATCCTCAGAGAAGGGATGGGAAAGCCAATGGAATGGAGGAGACCGATGAGGTGAAGAGGGTAGAAGGAGAAGAGGATCATGGAAACTACCTAAAGGAGATGGAGAAGCATGAGAAAGAATAGTCTAGAAGCAGGGCCATAAGAATTATGGGATCTCTTCTCCCATGCACTGCAACCGACCCAAAACTTCTTCTTTTTAAAAATTTTTAAAAAGACTTTTTTTTTTATTTGAGAGAAAGAATGAGAGAGAGAGAGAGCATGGGGGGGGGAGGGTCAGAGGGAGAAGCAGACTCCCCACTGAGCAAGGAGCCCGATGAGGGACTCTATCCCAGGACCCCAGGATCATGACCTGAGCCGAAGGCAGATGCTTAACCAACTGAGCCACCCAGGCGCCCCCCAAAACTTCTTGTTTACAGAACTAAACCTGTCTGAAAAAGGCCAGCATTGCTTCTCTAAAATGGTCTTCCTGCCGACAAAAACTAGAAGAAACTACAGAGGGTAGATTCAGCTGACTCATCCATGCTGCCCCCCCACCCCAAAACCACTCCATTACTGGCAGTGAACACCATCAAAACAAAACGACTCTGGTCATGTGATTTCTTCTTGCAGCATTTAAGGCAAAACATTTCCGTGAGAGCCCCAAGAGCTGAGTTGTTCAAATTAGACCAAAATGCTACAGATGGTTTCAGGATCATACAGCTCTCAGGGTGACGAAGAGCGATGCAAGCAGGATCGCCCAATCCCTTGCCTCTTCTTCAAGAAAGTGACTGTTCCATGAAGAACCTTGAGTCTCTGAGCTTCAGAAGCCATCAGGGGTGGGCAAACTTTTTCTGAAAAGGACTGGGAAGTAAATACTGTAGGATCTGAGGGGCCATCTGTTGCAACTATGCAGTTCTGCCACTGGGGTGAGGGAGGTGCTGTGAGCAACATGCACAGCGCTGTATTTGTAACATCAGGAGGCCAGCCGGAGTTGGCCCACAGGTCATAGTTTTTGGACCCCGAGTATAGACGAAAAGGGACAGAGAAGAGTCAAACTGTGGATTCCAGTTCTAGCTCTCTCTACACCAGCTGGCTGGGCCTCTGCATTGAAATGTCCTCATCCTTCACACTGGGATAGGGAGCTATTAGGAGATTGAAGGAGACCAGGAATGTGAGTGTGCTCTATAAATGAGTAAGTCCTCTGCAAGCAAAAGGATCTGTGGATTTGTTTCTTGGGGCCTCAGGAAATGTTTCTAGGCTGGGGGAGTGGGTGGGTGGCTCTTCCTCTACCATATTATCTAGAAAAGGAATACCATGCTGCTGTCATTGGGACGAAGCAGTCACAGGAAAAATCCCTTGTCTTAGAGGCAAATGCCTATTCTCTGCAATGCTGTCCCACAGCAAAGAAAGACCAGATCGCTGGGGACCTCTTTTTTTAATCCCATGGGCTACATCCTCCTACCAAGTTTAAGATGGAGTAGTTTTTAAAGGAGGAACTTAGAGAAATTGCTGGGGGTTATTGGCTTAGGACAAAAGGGGCTGGGGTACCTGTTTTCTTTCTGGGAGAAAGACAAAGCTACAGGATAATTTTAAATTGCAGAACCACTTGCTGTAGAGTGTGTCATTTTGCTCAAATTTGGTTCTTATTTCAAAACTAGCCCATTTTAAGATTGTCCAAAATCTGCTATTCTTTTTTTTTTTTTTTTTAAGATTTTTACTTATTTATTTGACACAGAGAGATACACAGCGAGAGAGGGAACACAAGCAGGGGGAGTGGGAGAGGGAGAAGCAGGCTTCCCGCAGAGCAGGGAGCCCGATGTGGGGCTCGATCCCAGGACCCTGGGATCATGACCTGAGCTGAAGGCAGACGCTTAACAACTGAGCCACCCAGCCGCCCCTGGTAAACTGTTTTTTTTTTTTTAAGATTTTATTTCTTCGTTAGAGAGAGAGAGCACAAGCAGGGCGAGAGGCAGAGGGAGAGGGAGCTGAGCTGGGAGCCCGATGTGGGGCTCGATTCCAGGACCCTGGGATCATGACCTGAGCCAAAGGCAGACACTTAACCACTGAGCCACCCAGGAGCCCCCCAAATCTGCTATTCTTAAGCTATGAATAATATGTTAAAGATTGTCATCATCTTTGACTTTTCAAAAGTTTTTCCAATAGAACAAATAAACCCCATAATTTAGGGAAGAGGGAGGACTGGTTGTTGCTAGTAAGAAATAAATAAATACCTACATACAGACACACACACAGGCAGGCAGGCAGCTTTCAAACTGTTTTGAAAGAAAAGAACTTCATTGATTGTCTGAACTAGGGCTCTAAGAGAAATATAAATTAACGCAGTGAATATAACATAATGAATATTTTTTAAAAAATTAGAATGTCACAAATTGTAACAGTAACAGATAACTTACTGACTCTTGAGCGGCATTTTGCATGCATTATCTTATTTTAGGAATTCCAGGTTTTTAAGAATATGTGCATTACTTCGTAGCAATGGGAGCCCTGGCTTTAATAAAAAAAAAAAAAGGTTTTGTATAGTCTTTGGGGGAATTGTGATTACTATTTTTAAATCTTACTATTTTCTAGTCACACGCCGTTCAGGGAGAGGTGAGGTGAGTTTATCTCCTAGGAAAGTACTTGTGTAAAATGGAGCCCACTCTGTCTGGAAACACTTTTCTCCCACCACACTGAATTGAAAGCGCCCCCAATCCTCTCTCTTGCAGGCAACTTCATGAGCTGGAAGCTCCTGAAGGCACACACCAGCTCAAAGATGGCACTGATTATCAGCTGAGCTGAGCAAAGATGGCACCTCCTTGCAATCGAAGAACGGAAATGCCTGATTTTACCCAGTGTGACCATCCGGGTAGCTGGGCCGGGGACAATAATAGTAAATGAGCTAATGCACTGGCCTCTGATCAAAGTGGAAAGCCGTGACTTTTTTCTCATGAGGAAGCCAGTAAGACAGGCTGTAGACCAAGGCCAGCATGGGAACAGACGGGAATGAGGTAAATTCCCGACGGGAGTTACCTTCATCGGTGGAAGCTGTCAGCTGGGAAGGCTGCAGCAAAGCATGGTCAGCTTCAGGACCAGGAAAGGAGCTTGTGAACAGAGACATCTGAGGAGAGTGTCCTAGGAGCACCGCCTGCTCTTCTGTGGAGGTAAAAGAGAGGGCGCCGCTCTTGTCACCTGAGCCCTGGGCAGAGTCTGCAGGATCCTTCGACAGTGATGTCTCCACCGTGGAGTCCCCAAGAGACAATGGTGAGGGGCCGAGGGGAGAGGCGGTGTTCCCTCCAAAGTGGCTCCCACTGTACCCCCTTGTCGGCCCCCGAGGGGGCAAATCCTGCAGCTGTTGCTGCTCACACTGGGGGTTAATCCAGGAAGCTTTGTGCCTCATGAACCTGACGTCTGAGTGGCAAGGGGACTGGTCAGTGTCCAGGAGGCTGGGAGAACCATCAATGTCGCCAGGGTCATTGCCGTCCCTTTCCCACGAGTCCACGGGAGAATCCTGCCGGCCTGTAGACTGTGACACCATCTTCCCAGGCTCAGGGTGGTGTGAGTTCCACTGTGCTACTGGATTAGGGCCTTGAACTCACCAGGAGGCCAGCCGGGGGCCAGACAGCTTATCTGCAATGAGCAAAAATCATTCAAGATAAATAAGAACGCAGTCATATTTTTTTTTTTAAAGATTTTATTTATTTATTTGACAGAGAGACACAGCGAAAGAGGGAACACGAGCAGGGGGAGTGGGAGAGGGAGAAGCAGGCTTCCCACCGAGCAGGGAGCCCAATGCGGGGCTCAATCCCAGGACCCTGGGATCATGACCTGAGCCGAAGGCAGACGCTTAACGACTGAGCCACCCAGGGGCCCCAGTCATATTTTTAACTCCAAAATCTTTTGAGGAGAAGAAACAAAAAATAAATAAGTTTGTACTTCACCCTGTACAATACAGTAAATTCCACTTGGATTTACAAGAAATAACTAAACAAACAGATCAATCAATCATCAATCAATCAATCAGCAATACAACTGGCAGCAGACACAGGAGGCATGACTTTGGGACAGGAAAGGGTTTTCAAGGCATAAAGATAACTGAAGATTGCTTTTTTTAAGGATAAAGTCATATATGCATACTGTTGATAAAACAGATTAAAGTATAAGGCAGCGGTGCATTATTCCAATAAAACTAAATGTCAAACCCCAAATGGGAATACCATTGGGAAGTAAAGACACATTTTCGCAGTTTCTTAGTTTCTTGTTCCTATTTAGTCCGTGTTTGTATTTCAGCAAAGTAGACAAGTGGTATGTGAAATTGAGGACAACCACTAGCACTAAAAACTTTGTTTCATGTAATTTAGATTATAATACTGAATTATAATAGGTATAGAAATCTGTGATTAGCTTATAATATCTAAAGAACACACTGTGAATCTAGGGTTTATTTTTTCTTTTCTTTTTCTTTTTTTTTTTAGACAGAAAGAGAGAAGGAGAGGGGACACAGGGAGAGAGAGAATCTTAAACAGACTCCATTCCCAGCATGGAGCCCGATACAGGGCTTGATCTCACAACCCTGAAATCATGACCTGAGCCGAAATCAAGAGTCGGCTGCCTAATCGACTGAGCCACCCAGGCGTCTGTCCCAGTTTGCTCACATTTAAGCTCAGTGTTTGGCTCTAGTAAATAAGTCATGATTAAAATGTTGAGAGCTACTCCAAAGAGAAGCACTCTGGTCACCATAATCACAGGCCCAGCGTGTGTCCTACTGTTCCCACTGTCCTTCACCCTGTGAGGCTCAAGGCAGCCTTCAACAGCAAAAGTGAGGTCAGCAAGGGGAAGGCCTAGAGATGGAAGCAGTCGGCTTAGGTGAGCTTAGCTTAAAGAAATGGTGGAGAACAGAGGTACCAGGTGGTGAGCTGAGACTCTGGAGTCAGTTTCAGTGTTTTAAATACTAGTGTTATGTATACAGATGGCTCCCACCTGGATCCCTGCTCCTGACCTCCCCTGGGACCACAGACTAGCATATCTTACTGCCTTTCTGACCTTCATCCAAGGGACATCGCAAACTAACACATCCAGACAGACCCTAATTTCCCTCAAATCTGCTCCTCCCTGGTTTTCCCATCCCAGGGAACATACCTCCCAGTTGCTGAAACCCAAAATCTAGAAGTGATCTCTGATCCTATCTTTCTGTAGCTCTCTATCTTTAATCCATTAGCAAGTTCATATCCATAGCTACCACCCTCATCTAAATTGCCATCTTCTCCCATCCATCTTCTCCTTCCATCTGCCCAGTGGGTCTCCCTGCTTCTACTCTTGACAACTTATAATCAAGAGGTACGCAAAGATCTTTTATAAGCCTACATCAGATGTCAGTCCCCTAATCACCCACCCACCCCCATCCCATCGAATCTGGAATAAAATCCAAAATCCTTACCTTGTCCTTAAGGCATGACATGAGAGTGCAGACCACGCTCATTTATCTCTGTCCACCCCCAATAAGTCCCGATCACACAGCAAACTCTTACGTCCCACGGGCTCTTGCTCACCCTAATGGTGCTCCGCTTGGACCGCTCTTCCCCCAACTGATTGTACATCTGGTTCCGTTCTGCCTTGTTGCATGCTTTGGTTTATAAATTACTTCCTCAAAGAAGTCTTTCCTAACTACCTCTCTTAAAGTAGTTCCCCAGTTACTCACTATCACATCACCTTGCTTAATTTTCATTATAGTCGCCTCACTTCCTGATATATTTTTACCTCTTCACTGTCATTCCCCTCCACCCCCTCCCTATAAGTCCATGAGAGCAGGGACCTTGTCTGTTCTCAGCCAGATGCAGAGCCACCTATGGGGGCTCAACAAACTTATGGACTGAATGAGCAAATCCAACAAAATGGAAATAGTGTCATGAGCTAGAGAGAAGATTTCTGTGATAGATACACCTGTTCTGTTACTCTGGCAGAATTATTCATACAGGGATAGAAGTGAATCCATGTTTCCTAAAGATAGGACATTTTTCTCACCCAACACTTTCAAATAGACCAAAGGAAGGTACATGGGAAAACTGTACCACAATTCCTTGGGTTTTCTTGATTTGGGGGCCTTTCTTTCTAGGTCAAACCTTTTGAAGTGACACATACACATAGATAAGATACACATAATACTGCACAGTACTGCATAAGCTCCAAATCACTGCCCACCAAGTATCACGGGCTATGGTGGCGACTGCCAGAATTCATCTGAAGTGCTTCGTCTTCCTTCTCCAAACCTCACATCCACCTGGTGCCCCGATTTCTCGTCGCCCATCTTCTCCTCTCCAATAATTTTGGGTGTCATCATTACAGATGGGAACCACGACTGTGTTTTTATGGAATGCCCCAAACACAGAAGCCTAGAGTGAGTGAAGCACACACATGGGCCCAAACCCGCCAATCCCACCTCATGCCCAGAAAGGACACTGGTAACCACTTTATCCCTTCTAACCTCTTCCTATGAGTTAACATACATATGTCAGATCAGAAGAGGGGACCCATACACATGGGCTCATACTGGACAGAATCTATAATGAACCTTCTTTTTCTCTCAACAAGGTCTTGAGGGTGCTTATCACTCTTCACTATCTTACCATTTTCTATAGTATAAATGTATCAAAATTTACTTAGCCAGACTCCTATTGACGGAAATTTATTTTCAGTTTTTCACTATTATAAAACATACAGCAATGAACATCTTTGTGTTGCTTTTTGTTGATTTTCTCCCACTAGATCTCTTCTCTTACAAGTTCCAATTTTAGTTCTGAGTCCATAGTTCCTGATAACGTCAGTATTTCTTTTCTTTTCTTTTTTTTTTTTAAGATTTTATTTATTTGACAGCGAGAGAGGGAACACAAGCAGCGGGAGTGGGAGAGGGAGAAGCAGGCTTCCCGCGGAGCAGGGAGCCCGATGTGGGGCTCGATCCCAGGACCCTGGGATCATGACCTGAGCTGAAGGCAGACGCTTAACGACTGAGCCACCCAGGCGCCCCGATAATGTCAGTATTTCTAAGAGAATGAAGCTATGAGTCATGTTTTATGCTCAATTCCCTACATGTCATAGCTGTTCTTGTGTGGGGGAGATAAGTACAGATGTGAAATCACATAAAAATGCACAGCCTCTAACCAATGGTAAGTAGCAGTGATCCCTGTGTTTTTTAGTTCAAAAAGAATGATGTTGTTTATGAGCCTTCCACATATGGAATTGACTTAACTGCACTGAACAAAACAGACTTTCTTCTCAAAAGTAATTTCAGAAGCAGGTGCTTGCTCCATTTCCTTCTAGAAAGATGTTCTTGTTTCACACAAATAAACAGCAGGCGTTGGCTTTTCTGGGTTATACAATGAGAACATGTTAGAGCTGGAATAGGCCCGTAGAGATTCAAAGCCATGTCTAAGGACCCAGCTGAGTAGTGGCAGAGAGAGGATGATGAGGAGGGTTGGACAGTCATTAAGGAGCATGAGTTTCTCTGAGAGGGAGGCTCTCAGGGGAGAGTAATGATTCAAAACAAAGTCCAGGCCCTGGTCCCCAAGGTCAACATCTCCATTGCTTGATCTTTGGGGCAACAGATAATTCATGCGATACCATCATATCATTGCATTGCTCATTGTCACCTTGCTTATAGTTTGTTAATTATTCGACTAAGCAAATATTTACTGAGCATCTACTACTTGACTGGCATGGTTTTTGTTCTGGAAGCACCGGAGTAAAATAAGCTCCATGATTCCTCCAGTAGTTTATGTTCTGGTAGAGGGGACATGGTGACTAACCTTACACATTCATACATTTCAGTGCTGATAAGCAGGAGGTAATATGGGCCTAAGTGATGGCTGGCGTCTTCCCAAAATGTTCCCGACTATCATAAATGGGGAATCAAAGAGGCTTAGATACAAAGATAAAATCAATTTCCAAAAACATTTTAAAGGAAGAGAAATCAAATTGCAAAGCTTACCGTCATTTCTATTGAGATTTTCCTATTGAGGGTGAGCACGGGCCAGATTACTGGTTAACATATATGCAGGAGCAACGGTCCTAGACAAAAGAGAGACTCCTGGACCACCCCCCCAACCAAGTCATTCTGGATGGGTCTCTGGCCCTCAAAGTCAGTGGTTCTGTCAAGAAGGACTGCATTACGAGGGCAACCTCAGAGCCAGAGTATTGTGGACAACTCAGTTGGGCATGAGCCACCATGACCTCTATAGTGACCTCACAAAAGTCTTTCAGATCATAACCGGCCAGCACTTTGATGGCAGAAGAGCAGCTTTTAGCTGCTAAGACCCCTAACAATCTTATGAATAGGCACAAGCAGGTCAGATTTAGGGTTTTAGATTTTCTCTGCCCCAGCATGAACTACTGACAGAATACATTACTGGGAGCATTAAAGACTCATCTTAAATGTTACCTTCTCAGCAATGGCTCCATGGTCCCCCCATATAAGTCATGGCAACTGCCTCAGCCAGGAATTCCTCTCCCCCACCCACCTCTAGTTTTCTTCTTACTCCTTAGCACGAATCCCCATCTTATTTAATCTCAAAGATTAACATCCTCTAGAATGTAAAATCTCTTGAGGGTAACTTCTTAAAAAAATTCTACCTGGACACGATTTTGTTCCCAGAACGTAGAACAGGGGCACATAATAGGTGCTCAGCAAATACATCCTTCAAGTGTGAATAAAATGAATGAAAGAATGAACGAACAAACAGTACCTAAGTATGGCTCTGTTGGTTATTTCTGTTTCCCAAGAAAGAAAGTCTAGAATAGATGTCACCCTTTAGAAGAAACTGGAGATCACGACCTAAAATTTCTGTCAACCACTTCCTTAGAATAAAGGAAGTTAGAGAATAGAAATCACAAATAAGAGTTGAAGTGAAAGATAAAATTCATTTATGCCGATTTTCGGGTGGCTTCCTGCGCGTGCTCAATAATAAACAAATGCAAGTGAACAGACAGAGTGTCAGCTATTTGGGGTTAACGCAGTTCCCCAGTCCTCTTCCCATCTTTCCGTATCTACTTCCCTTCAAGCTTTGACTTTAAACAGACTCACATCCCCAAAGGATGGCGACAGACTCACACGATAATTTGTCAAAGAGAAACCATTAAGATGCCCAATCAAGTGACTCCACAGCTTCTGCAAAGCATCCAGGAATCAGAGTAAACCGCCATTTTCATACAGCTGCAATTTCACCACAACACATGCTGAACTCTGTGTTCTGGCACAAGAAGCACCAGGAAGGAAACAATGCATCGCGCGGACTCCTCTTCAACCAACTTGATCTTTGAAATGACCCCTAATTTTGAAGGTCTGCTGTCAAAAGAACCCAGAGGAAGGACAGAAAGCAATTATGACAAATGGGTGTGGTGAGAAGGGGAAGACCCAACAAAGGCAAAGACCAAGGAACATAGATATTTTGCCTAAGAAAATTGCAAGGTTGCCCAAGATACACAGATGACTAACTTCCTGTGGTCACTGCGTATGTCACACTTACCACTCTCATTCTACATGATGATAACATGAAATATTTCAGGTTTTAGTATGCTGATCTGGGAACTGAAATAAAGAATGTTACGGGACTTGTCCAAAGCCTCAGCATGAATAACTACCGGAAGTAGAACAAAAAACAAGTCTGACACCTGATCCAAAGCTCCTTCCACTGATATTTATGTGTGCCATAAATATTAGGATAATTGCAATTTCATTGGCAAAGTAATTTTAAGAATTTTCCCATGAGATCTGTCACAAAACAAAGGATTAAAAGCCACACCACTATATTTGATTCCATGTTTTTAGAACACCATGCCCGGAATTTTATGATTATACCTATTTATAAAAAAACAAACAAAATCATTGTACATACATCTCCAGTATGGGACTATTTATTTATAAACCTTATATGTGCACAGCTATTCTAATATATTGTGTAACTTAAAAATTCATAAAAATAGCACTCTGTTCTTCCTTTCCAATAAATCATCTTGTATCCTAAAGTTATATGCCACCACTCAAATAAGTAAAACCTTCTCCATATAAAAACAATAATGAATAAAAAATTATGTATCCATGAATATTAGACAACTGAATAAGACTTACAAAAATATTAATACAAACATTTACGCAAAGTAAGGGTAGGTACCTACCCTTGAATGATGGCGAGGTTCCCATGTTTGAGTAAAATAAAATGGGGATCCATGTCAGAAAACAGTCTGGCAGTTCCTCAAATGGTTCAACATACAGTTATCATTTGACCTGGCAATTCCACTCCCGGGTATATACCTGAGAGAATGAAAGCAGATGTTCACACAAGCACATGTGCACAAATGTAAATGGCAGCATTATTCACAATAGCCAAAAAGTGGAAACCACCCAAATGTCCATCAACTGATGGATGGGTAAGCAAAGTGTGTGACCACCAGAGAATGCAGTATTATTTGGCCACAATTAGAAGTGATGTATTAAGACATGCTGCAGTGTGGGTGAGCCCTGAAAACATTATACTAAGTGAAACAACCAGTCACAAAAGATATTTCATATTGATAGATGTTTTTTTATGAAATGTCCAGAATAGGGAAATCCATAGAGACAGAACATAGATTAGTGGTATTTCGGGGGAAGGAGAGAGAATGAGAACATAAAGAGTGATAACTAAAGGGTACAGGGTACCTTTTTGAGGATCTAAATGTTCTAAAATCAACTGTGGAAAGGATGACACATATCTGTGAATATACTAAAACCACTGAACTGTACACTTTAAAAGTGCATTTTTTTTAAAGATTTATTTATTTGAGCGGGAGGAGGGAGGGGCAGAGGCAGAGGGACAGAGAATCCCAAGCAGACCCCAAGCTGAGCGTGGAGCCTGAGGTGGGGCTCGATCCCACGACCCTGAGATCACAACCTGAGCTGAAACCAAGAGTCGGAGTCTTCACCAACTTAGCCATCCAGGTGCCACTGAACTGTACGCTTTAAATGGCTGGATTGCATGTTATGTGAATTCTATCTCTATCTCAATAATGCAGTCCAAAAAAATGAAATGGGAAGAAGTTCCCATCTCCCTTCAAAAAGGCGTAGGAAGCCTAGAGAGTGCTTGAATCGCACAGGCTCCGGGGTCGGGGGTTCAGAAGAGCTCCGGCTGTAAGTCAGGCTGCAAACACAGGTGCTGAAAGCTAAGGGGGAAATGGAGCGTAGATAAAGGGAATACAGAATATAGGTGCCTAAAGTCGGTACGGAGAAGAGAGGGGAAGTGGAAGTGAAATTGCCACAACTGAATTATCTGGAAAAAGAAAAGAGAAAAAAACAAAAACCAAGGGCTGGTTGTCTGTTGACAACAACAAAGATGTTGTCTTTACAACATCATGAACATGATGGCAACCAGCACCTGGGCACCAGTTGCCGGACCCTACAGGGCAGTCCAGGCATCCACCCTCATTCATCTTCAGGCCAGGGCTGTAAGGGAGGTTCTGCTGGTCCCAATTTATAGATGGGAAACAAAGTCAACACAGTTAAGTATTGTGCTTCTGTGTGATTAAGAGCCTATCTTTGAGAAATATATACAGACGTATGTAGAAATCATTGATGGAATTTCTGACATCTGCTTTAAAATAATCCAGTAGGAAGTGCCAGCCGGGGATATGGATGAAAGCCAATTGGTCATGTTGATAATTTGATAATTGTTGAAAATGGGAGGAGGGTACATGTACTATTCCCTCTACTTTTTTTTTTTTCAAGATTTTTTATTTATTTTTTAATGGCGAGAGAGACAGCGAGAGAGGGAACACAAGCAGGGAGAGTGGGAGATAGTCCCTCTACTTTTAAGTTTGAAATTTTCCATAAGCAAACTCCCTAGGTAAAAGTAAAAAAACAAAAAACAAAAAATAAAAACAAAAGTAGGGGCGCCTGGGTGCTCAGTCAGTTAAGCATCTAACTTTTGATTTTGGCTGAAGTCGTGATCTCAGGGTTGTGAGATGGAGCCCAGGGTCGTGAGATTGAGCCCCAGGCCAGGCTCCACATTGGGCCTGGAGTCTGTTTGAAATTCTCTCTCTCCCTCTGCCCGTCCCCCAACCCCTACCTTGCATACATGTGTGCCCTCTCTCTCTCTCTCAAAAAAAAAGTTGAAAAAAACAAATTAAAAAAAAAGAAAAATTCCATTGACAGATAAATGGATAAAGATGTGATACACACACACACACACACACACACAGGAATATTATGCAGTCATCAAAAAAAATGAAATCTTGCCATTTGCAACAATGTGGATGGAACTAGAGGGTATTATGCTAAGCGAAATAAGTCAATCTGAGAAAGACAATTATCATATGATCTCACTGACATGTGGAATTTAAGAAACAAAACAGAGGATCATAGGGGAAGAGAGGAAAAAATAAAACAAGATTAAACCACAGAGGGAGACAAACCATAAGAGACTCTTAATCATAGGAAACAAACTGAGGGTTGCTGGAGGGGATGGGGGTGGGGGGATGAGGTAACTGGGTGATGGACATTAAGGAGGGCATGGGATCTAATGAGCACTGGGTATTATATAAGACTGATGAATCACTGAACTCTACCTCTGGAACAAATAATACATTATATGTTAATTAACTGAATTTAAATTAAAAAAATAATAAAATGAAATAAAAATTTTTTAAATCAAAAAAAAGAAAAAATGTCGACACTGCTATATCTGTCCATGTATCCCTGAGTTACCTCTCTGACCTTCTCTACTACCTCTCCATCCCTACACCTCTATACCCTTCTGCACCCCTACACCCCTCTATACTCTTCTACTTGCACTCCCTTCTTTATTCAAATTTCCCTTTGGAATGAGACTTTCCTCATCACCCTTTTTAAAACTGCATCCCTAAGGTGTACGCTATCCTCATTTACTGCCCTATTTTTTTTTCCCAGAGCACTCTTCTTCTATTATCTTAGCCATCGTTATCAGTTCATAACTAACACATGGCATTTACTATGTGTCTGACACTGTTCTAGATTTTCTACACTCACACGCACTTGATCCTTCTAACAATCTATGAAGTAGATATAACAACACTAGAACCCGAGGCACCACTTGTAACTGGAGTGTTTTACATCCAGGCAGTCTTGCTCCCAAGTTCACATTCTTACCTGTGACAGCACAGGGATAAAGGAAAGACCTTTAAATTTCACAGATCCAAACATCTCTCCAGAATATCAAAACTGATCAAGTACGAAGGGGCTGCCGGCAATGTTAGTGACATGCTTATGCTTACCTCCCTGGGCCCAAATCTCCACAGGGACCAAGAGTTTAAACTAAGAATGAGACCAAAACCAACAAACAAAAACACATTTTATATATGTCATAGGACAGTTCAAATGATCCGACGACAGCCATATTGCTTAAAATACCCTTAAAATGTGCATAAACAAAAGTTCAACTCTCCTGACCTACCATATTTAAAATAGCCATCCCTTGAGCTGGCTTCTAAGAAAAATCTCCAAATAAAGAAGGAGAGAATAGGGAAGTACGTTACATGTATTTCCTGGACAGTTGTTTTCTGACCCACTACAGATTGCTGAAATAAAAGAATGTGGAAGAGTTTAAGGCCACCTCGCCCTCCAGTCTTCAGCTCCTGAAATCAAGAAGACAAAAGCATCTGCTGGTCCTGAGTGCTTTTCAACCTGACCTGCCCCCCCAAAACTTTGAGGTCTAATTTACATTTATCTCTTTTAATAAGTGTAAAACTAAGGATCCAAGAACAGAACTAAAGTATTTTCTTAAAGTAATTTCCAAACATTAATTGTTGGGCAGATCACATTTAAGTGTGTAGATTATTTCGGCTTTTTCTCCTTTGTCATTTTCCAGCCTACATTGAGGATGACAAAAACACTTCCTTTTACATAATGGAAGTGTTTCTCTTTCACAGTTCACGCTTCATGTTCCAGTGAGAAATAAAACATTCATTCAATATAGGATTATTATGACTATTTTATGGATGAGAAAACTGAGGCCCAGGAAAAGGAAGTAAAGTGAAGACCACACAGCAACTCAACAGCAAGCTCAGCACTGGGACATGGAACCTTGCTCCAGAACCCCAATCTCATCATCATGCTGCCTGTATGTATGGGATAAAACACAGTGCAGAAGTTAAGAAAAAAACACCAGGGTCCCAATCAAATATAATTTTTATGTCAATCTGAGAAATACCTCACTTACTAGCTGTGTGACCTTGGGTAAGGCACTTAACCTCTCTGTGCTTCAGTTTCTTTACAGACTGTTGTGAGAACTAAATGAATTCTCAGTCTGGCACACAATATTCAATAAAAGTTAGCTTTATCATCACCATCAGTGTTATTTAATAAAAACTTACAGTTCAGTATACAACAGCACAACTAAGGAGAGCTAGTTTTATTTCCCAACTTCATAAATGAGTCACCTCTCAACTCCTTTTAATTAAAATGAAAAACCAATCAGAGAGTTTGGTGACATTGACATGCTTACCTTATTTATCTTTTTAGAAAAGATATATACAATATAACATACAGGCATTAGGATTGCTCATGTTTATAATGGCTGGAAGGTTGGACATGCTTATTTAAAAAGAACTGCTTAAATTGTAACAGTAACACCACCCAACCTTGTGACTCTTTCCTTTCCATATTAGAAACATGAATCTAAATTTAGTAACAAGGGAAACTATTTAAATTTGGCAATGCTATTATTTGTGTGCCCTCAGACAGGTGGGGAAAACCTGTTAGCAAGCAATGGTACTCTTTCTTTAGCTCTTTACTATCTTCCTCTAAAGATCATTCGAATGAAAAATGCTTATTCTTGCATATTTATCCTTGGCTCTGACAGAGTCTTCCCCAATCAGAAAACAAGAACTCCAACTTCGGAAAGCCAACAATGTTTTCAGAGTTAAATGGTCTCATGAAGAGCATGTCAAATAATGAAACCCGCCCCCCCCCCCCCCCCCCCCCGCCACTGGCCACTACCAATTTTCCTCAACTTTCTTAGCATCTCCCTCAGGCCCTAAAGAAGATGGGGAAGGCAAAGTTCCTGTCCCCTGACCCCCTGATGGCACACTGTGATGCGCCGTGTCAGGTAGTAGCGCTGGGAAGAGGAACTGCAACAACACACCGAGAAACAGACACATTGCGACATTTTGGACAGGGAAGCAGGAAAATGCCCACACTACCCGGATGGTGCTGCCTTAATTCTGCTCCAAAGGAGGTTCTGCTGGTGGCCAGGAGGGAGGTGTGAGCAGCAGTGTGGGGATAATCTTAATTTATAGAAACCACACTTCATACTTTTCAAAACACCCTCCCTCCTTCCAAACCATCCGGTGGGAGGTGGGCCAGGGATTATCCCCCCACTTCTCACACAGGCATACTGAGGTTCAACGAGGTTTCTTGACTTGCCCAAACCTCACTGCTATTCGGCCTTAGGACAGAGTCTACGAAACCCAAATTTGCCGACCCTCAGCCCTTCGAGCTTTCCCACCACATCTTCAATTCAAAGATCCTTCCAAGTTCCACTGCAATCATACCGTAAGCACGGTTATGGAATATACCCCTTCCCGTTAGTCTTAATTCCCACTTAGGGCTGAATAACCCCTCTTCCGAAGGTTTTCCACATTCTCCAAGCTGACAGCATCAGTAGTCGCAGGAGGGGGGGTGGCAAACCTCACCGCGCGGCGACAGGCAGGCTGGAGGGGGTGGGGGTGAAATGCAGCAATTCCGCTTTCCCCGCTGCAATCTCGGCAGG